GTGGTCCCTGACAGGGGCTCCCCTTAAACTCTGCACTCCTGCCTGTTTGCTTTTTTTATCCCCAGTGCCCTCCCCTGAAGGGCAAAGTCCAGCGCATCCTGCACTGGGCCTGGAAAGAGCCGCCGGCCGCCCCTCTCCCGCCTGTGCTGCTCACCCCGGACGCGGAGCTGGCTCTGCCCCCGCCAAAGGTGCTGGAGGGGATCCCGGAGCGCGAGTTCTTCGTGAAGTGGGCAGGCCTCTCCTACTGGCACTGCTCCTGGGTCAAGGAGCTGCAGGTGAGCCAGCGCGGTGGTGCCGTGCCCCTGCCGGGTGCCTGCCTCTGCTGCCCGTGGGCTGAGCGTGGCTCCCTCCCGCCGCAGCTGGAGCTCTACCACACCGTGATGTACCGCAACTACCAACGGAAGAACGACATGGACGAGCCACCGGCCTTCGACTACGGCTCTGGGGATGAGGACAGCCAGAGGGAGAAGCGGAAGAACAAAGACCCGCAGTATGCCAAGATGGAGGAGCGGTTCTACCGCTACGGCATCAAGCCCGAGTGGATGATGATCCACCGCATCCTGAACCACAGGTGAGGAGCCGTGTGCGGATGGGTGCATGAGTGGGCCGTGGAAAGAGAAAGGCACGTGCCAGGGTGCCTGAGCCCCTGGTAGTGCTGGCACCAAGCGATGCTGTTGCAAGCCAGGGAGGAAACGGCAAGGGTGAGCCCTGCCACCTCCCCGGGACCCCTGTGACTTCTGGAGATGAAGCTTTGAGCCACGGGTCGGTGATCTCTGCGGATTTTCTCTTCATGCGCAGCTCTCACGCGGATGGTTTACGCTGTTAGCTGAGCCTCTGGGACTGCCTGCTGCGGGATTTCTGTGCTCAGCTGAGTTCTGCCCCCAAGGCCGGGGCGTTCTTGCCATCCTTCTGCAAAGCCAAAGTCTCGGGCTGGTGGAATTTCAGCTGCTGGCTTGTTTCGAGGTCTCTGTTGCCTTGGAGGTTTGCTCCTGAGGTGAAGCCAGGGCCAGAAGTGAATCCATACGTTATTTTCATTTCTGCTATGTTGCACGTTAAAAATAGCGACAGTATATTTTCCCAAAGGTGGACGCAGAGTTGTTCTGTTCTCCCAGCCGTATTGTTTGGGTCCCTGTTACAGCCTAATCGTTCTGTAAATGTCTGCCGCAGCCCGATAGGGACCGTGCCCTGGGAGAGGAGTTTGGGCAGGTGCCTGACTCCCTTGCGCAGCCCTGACATTGCATTTCCTTTCTGTGGAAGAAATTTCCTGCATATGAAACATGCTGTGCAGATGGTTTTTTATGTTGAGCAGCTAGAGACACCTTTTTGTTGAATTTCTATGTTTCAAGCGGCAACTTGAAATTTCAAGCGGTAACTCTGCTCGAAGGCTGCTTGGCAGAAAATAAATAAAGCTGCCTGGCTAATTTTCATGTGAGCTTTACATTGTCTGCTAATAAGGCAAGAGTTTGTTCCCTGTAGGCATATAATCAGACTCGGTAGTATGCTTATTCGTTTTTCAGCGTAAGCAAAACTTCATAGAGCAGCGAACGCTGCAGGAGAAAGAGGGTGAGCGCTGGTATTCATCCAGTCCTGGTAAAACAGGAATATGAGGTTGCTTGGTGGAATGGAAGAGCAACCTTTAAAGCTTAACGATTTAACACGTGCTGCAGATTAATAGGCATTTCTGCTGGAAAGTGTCGATACTTTATGTTTTTCTGCCTCTGCTTGGATGTCGTGGTCTGGAGGTAAAAGCAGAGGATGAAGCACCCGGTTTTGCAGACCCAGGGTTTGGTTAGCTGCTTCCTGGTGGCCGAGTGCCATTTCACCAATCGGGTTTTCGTGCCTTGCGTTACAGCTTTGATAAAAAGGGAGACATCCATTACCTGATCAAGTGGAAAGACCTGCCCTATGACCAGTGCACGTGGGAGATCGACGAGATAGACATCCCGTACTACGAAAACCTCAAGCACCTTTACTGGAACCACAGGTAGGGGCCAGCTGGGCGGTGGGGCCGCAGCCTGGGCGAGCCAGGCAGAGCTGGGGCAGCCTGCGCGGGTGTTTGGGACCACCGGGCACTCGTAGGTGCCCCCCTTTTGACCATACTGGCAGCACTCGCAGGGACCTCTCTTCGGAGAGCAGTGGCTGGGCACCTCCATAAAGCTGGGCCTCCTGAAACGCGGGTTCAGGGCTGCTGGAAATCCTGCCTACCTGCTGCTTTCCAGCCCGTGCTCCCCTTCCCCTGTGTTTATACTGCCCTGGTGTTCACGGTCTCGCTGCGCTTCAGGGCGGCTCCGTGGCGCTGCTGCCTGTCCGCTTTGGGGGAGAACCACAATGTTCCGATGAGATTCCTATTCTCCATTTTGGATGATGTTGCGCAGACTGTTGGGAGGGGAAAATTAACTCTCCATGAGTGCCTCTGCTAACTAGGCCAGAAAAGCTCCCGTGGGGAGAGAGGCGGTGGAGTTGGAGAAGCGTGTCTGTCCCTCGGCTCGGGGACTGGGAGAGGAATGCCCGCCTGCCTTTTCCTGATGCGCGGTGGCTGTTGCAGGGAGCTGATGCTGGGGGAGGACACGCGCCCTCTGAAGAAGCTGAACAAGAAAGGGAAGAAGCTGAAAGAGGAGAAGCTGGAAAAGCCTCCCGAAACGCCTCTCGTGGATGTGAGTAGGAGCGGCGGGGGGGGGACGGATGTGAGTAGGAGCGGCGGGGGCAGCACTGCAGTCGTGAGCCCAGAGAGGGAGGGCTGCCTGGCCACCCTATCCTGCTACACTTTTCTCCTCTAGTTCCTTCCTGGTTTTTCTTTTTTCATTCAAAGCTCTGGGCTGGCTTCACTGTGAGGAGCCCGAGGGCTGTGCTGGGGACCGTGTCTGCAGCTCTTTTGGGGCTGTTCGGTGTCACAGGGCTAAAGAGGGTTGTGCTTGGCCACAGAGAAAGCAGGGGGAGTTGGTTCTCACTGCTTTGCCTCAGGACACTCTCTCTCCAGCCCACAGTGAAGTTCGACAAGCAGCCGTGGTACATCGACGCCACGGGAGGCACGCTCCATCCTTACCAGCTGGAAGGGCTGAACTGGCTGAGATTTTCCTGGGCCCAAGGGACGGATACAATCCTGGCTGACGAGATGGGGCTGGGGAAGACGGTGCAGACTATTGTGTTCTTGTATTCCCTCTACAAGGAGGTGAGTGGAGCATCCAGCAGTCCCCAAGGTGGCTGGGAGCTGCTCGGTACGGGGAGAACAGCTTGGACTTTGTCTCCCTGGGCAGGGCCACTCGAAAGGGCCGTATCTGGTCAGCGCTCCTCTCTCCACCATCATCAACTGGGAACGCGAGTTTGAGATGTGGGCACCCGACTTCTATGTCGTGACCTACACAGGGGACAAAGAAAGCCGGTCGGTCATCCGGGAAAACGAGTTTTCTTTTGAAGACAACGCCATCCGGAGTGGGAAGAAGGTCTTCCGTATGAAGGTGGGAGCTAAGTCTGTGCCCTGCCCAGTACTTAACCATCAGCAAGAAGGGGAGAGAGCAGAATTTGACCCAGAGAGGGAGGTTGGTTTGGTCCCTAAGCGGGTGTTTTCCAAAGAGGGAAGCTGGCGCTGTTTACAAATGCAGGAGATCTGTGATGAGCTTCCAAGGTTTCTGCCAGACCCTTTCCTGTTTCTGTAGTCCCCTGCTTGGTTCTGACGTGCAGATGGGTATAGATTTTCTGCGGGCACGACTCGTGCCTCGGCCCTGCTGCTGGTGCTGTGTAGTGCAGTGCAGGCAGCCCCTCCCTCCTTGGGTCATACAGCAGCAGCAAAGGTGGAGGCCGCCCCGTTCCCTGCTCTCCTATCCTGGCTTTTCTCTCCCTCTGCTTTTCCAGAAGGAAGCCCAGATCAAGTTTCATGTCCTGCTCACCTCCTACGAGCTGATCACTATTGACCAGGCGGTGCTGGGCTCCATAGAGTGGGCTTGTCTGGTGGTGGATGAAGCGCACAGGCTGAAGAACAACCAGTCCAAAGTAGGTAGCAGACGTTTGTGAGTTATTTTTGTGGTGCAGCCGATGCCACAAAGATCCAACACCCCAGCACAGGCAGCGTGCTGCACTGTGCCTTCCTCCCCAGGAGTCGAAAGATGTCCTCACCCCGCACAGGCTCTGCCTGGGGCCCGTGTTTCGGTGGATTTGCTCCCTTTAGCATCCTCTGGCATTAAAAGTCTGTCAGCAGTGGAAGAGGGGGCAGCCTGGCTGCCTGCCTGGCAGCGTGACAGTCCTTGGATGGGCTGTGGTGGAAAGGAGTCAATCCCTCTTCTTCCTCTCCCCTTTACCTGAGGCGAAGCGTAGGCTCCGGCCCCTGGGACCTACGTGCAATCCCCAGCACAGGAGGAGGCAGGCGGTGTGACCCCTGGACGTTCGGGATTGCTGCCCATGCCCGATGGGGATGGCCCGGAGCAGGACGTGCAAGCTGCAGTCCGCTCTGTGTGCCCGGCGGGGGGGAGAGGTCACCGCCGAGGCTCCGTGGGTGCAACCTGCAGAGTCCCCAGGTAACTAATCGGCTCCTCTGAGCAATTTTCACCTAACCTCATTTCTTTTCCCAGTTCTTTAGAGTATTGAATAGCTACAAAATTGATTACAAGCTGCTGCTCACCGGGACTCCGCTGCAGAACAACCTGGAAGAGCTTTTCCACCTGCTCAATTTCCTGACTCCCGAGAGGTTTAAGTAAGTTGCACTAGTTCGGTCCCCAAAAAGGGAGAGGAGAGCAGCTGGGAGCCGGTCTCTGGGGTGGCTCAGCAGAGGTTTTCCAGTTCCCCGGGGCTCCTGTCTGTGCAGGGGTGCCTGGATCCAGTAACTGCTGTGCCACTGTCACTGGTCGGTGCCGGCAGGCAGATGGCAAAGCCTGTTGTCCCGGGGTTTGTCCTAACAGCTACACGCACGTTTTCTGTAAACTCGAATTTTATTCCCATGGACTACTGCTTTTTGGGTCCTGTGGGTAGGTATTGCCTTGTTATCGGTCAGGAGATCTGTGAGTGAGGAACCGAAACCTGCCTTCTCCTCCCTCTCTGAGGAGGCAGAGGTACTTCAGGGAACTTGTTCAGACCTCCCGTTAGCGCGAATTTCCCCTTAGCAATCAGCGCGGCTCCTCGGTCTGGCTTTCGCTCTGCTGGGATACAGGCACGGGAGGGTTACCTCACCCTGTGCCATTAGAGCTCTGCCCTTGTTTTTAAGCCAGAAACAAACAGACATCTTTGCTCTCGCGTCCCGTTATCGCTCAGTGCTGCGTGGTTCTGGCTGCTTTCACAGTAACCTGGAGGGGTTCCTGGAGGAGTTTGCAGACATCTCCAAGGAGGACCAGATCAAAAAGCTCCATGACTTGCTAGGTCCCCACATGCTGCGGCGGCTCAAGGCAGATGTGTTCAAGAACATGCCGGCCAAGACGGAGTTGATCGTGAGAGTGGAGCTGAGCCAGATGCAGAAGTGAGTAATTCCAGCGCAGCTCCCTGGGACGGCTGGCTTCCCTCACTCTGCTGCGTCTGCAGCACGGCGGGGCATCCGTGGGGTGCTCAGAGACACCCCGCTGTCCTCAGGCCTGCTGTGGAAGAGCTGGAGCCCTTTATGGCTCACCGGGGAGCGCGTTCAGCCTGGTTAAATTGGGCTCTGTGCAGTCCCGGCCGCTCAGCGGGAAGCATTTGATGCTGGCAGCCTGTCGGCGTGGCTCTGCTAGTTCTGGGGAGCGCAGAGAAAACCCTGAGGTTGAACCCCCTTCTCCTGTTATCAGCACCAGGGCACCAGCCTGTGCTGCCAGCTTGCCTGGCATCGCTCTGGAGCATCGCTGCTGCTCTGGGGGACGCTTGCTCGGCTCCCTTTGTTTTGGGCTTCACTTCCTCAGCTTCAGCAGGTCTTCTGCCGAGATTGGGGCACTTGCAGGGAAGGGCACGTGGCTTCTTCCCAGCACGGTGGGGCAAGGCTCAGTTTCCACCTGGCAGCGGTGAGCGTTCCTATCCGCTGTGCCCCCCCAGTCCGTCCTGCTTACAGGGGCTGTGATGTCTGCAGAGCAATCGAACGAACCCGGCCCCAGGCTGAGGGTGCTGAGCCGTCGCTTTTAAAAATGTCCAGATGTCCCTTTTGAAGCTCCAGTGGTGCGAGTGGGGTTTAATTCAGCACCGTCCTGTTTATGCCAGTCCCACATCTGGCCGGACTAACAAAGGTGTCTGTCCCATGCCCGTTCCTGCAGGAAGTATTACAAATTCATACTGACGAGGAATTTCGAAGCCCTGAATTCGAAAGGTGGTGGGAACCAGGTCTCGCTGCTCAACATCATGATGGACCTGAAGAAGTGCTGCAATCACCCGTACCTCTTTCCTGTGGCGGCGGTGGTACGTCAACTGTATTTGCACCATGGAGAGATTTCTCAGAATATTGTGTGTAAGCTGTCGGTGGGGGCTGTTTCCCTGATCTTGCTTTGGTTAATGGTGGGAGGTTTCACGCAGGCGGTTTCATACAAGGATTCTGTCTTTGAAACGCATGTGAATGTCTCTGTGAAGTGAACGAGTGTTGCCCTCGAAGAGGCTAACCAGGATGCCTTCACAGGAGGCGCCAGTTCTGCCCAACGGATCCTACGATGGGAATTCTTTGGTCAAATCTTCTGGGAAACTGATGCTACTCCAAAAGATGCTGAAGAAGCTACGGGATGGGGGTCACAGAGTTCTGATCTTCTCCCAGGTGAGCATAGGGAAGGATTAATAATAAATACATTTTCAAAGGATTTTTTTTTGTTTTGTATGAGAATTTTGTGCTAGGAACAGATAGAGATGAGTGGATGGCTGGGCTGCGTCCGGCTCTGTCGCGGGGGGAGTCCCTGTAATGTTTAAAACCTCTTTTTATCTATGGATAAAGAGGAGAGAGTAGTAATAGTGCTCCCCTTTGGTGTGTCGGGGGCATTCAGACCC